TTTTTTTAATCTATTTACAACACTTTGAGTGACACACATTGATACTCGAGTCATTTAGTATTGATTCAAGGACTGCAAAAACGAAGTAAGTAGTGCAGCGCATTTCGTTGGGGAAATCAACAAGTCAGCAAAAAAAGTAATTTTCTATAATTACTTCGCTATCTCTGACATGAAGCAATTATTGCCTATAACCAACGGACAAAAAGAAAAATTGGTGGAAATAACTGCTGGCAGCATTTTCTATTAAAATCGTGCGCAAATTTCAATAATATTTACAAAGGTTAACTTTTTAATAAAAAAAATATAATAAATCATACAACAACAATGTAAACTCGCTTAGTACTTTGTATGATTCAATTAATACCAGCTTGCTGAATGTAATATTTATATTACTTATTTAATAAATTTTAAAGCTAATTATTAGTCATCCACCATTGAACTCATAAAAATAAAAGCTCATTAAAGTATTTTATTTTCACTAACGAATATACGTTTAATGGTCTCGACGCAAAAATGGCTCATTTGCACTCTAAATCCCAGACAGCATTTTTTCGCACAACAGTTGGGCAAATTATCTCGTAAAATTTCGATTCCATTTCATTCAATTGCACACCTAAAGCAAACTTAACCAAAATTGGCCATGAGTCATTTACACGAGATTGCAAACCGAAATCAAAAATTCACATATAAATTTGATTCGCAAATTGCTTTTTTGTCTCCAAAGTGCAATTTTGCCGTCTCGTATGTTAATTAAATAAACTCAGCGCGGCTCGGCTCGGCTCGGCTCAGAATGTTTTATTAATTCACATCTGTGTTTATTGTTTCCATTTAAGAGTTTTCGAGCCAACACAAATTTGTTGCAATTGGAAAAATATTTACATATATTTACATACATACATATGTATGTACTTGCAGATCGTTTATAATAAAGCGATTCAACAATCAACTAAAAAAAAAAAATATCAAAAAATTAATTAAAATAGCCCCGATTCCATACTGCGAAACTAGCCTTGTTCATTCGATATGTGGCAGGGGCCAAATTTCAAGCCAAGCCAAATAATCTGATACCCAACCATTTTTAATCGCACTTTTTCGCATGGGTGATGTTGATGATCGCAGCCTACCGTGTGCGCCTCTGCTCGTCCGCCTGCTTGCTGGCCGTTTGTTCGCCGCACAACGGAATTATTAATTAAGATTTTCTGTTTAATTTACGCTGAGGTGTATTTACAAATCAGCATCAGCGAGTAAGCGAGTGACGGCGGCATTGCTGCTGATCTCTGCCCAGTTGCTGTTGAAAATTAATTTTTTTTTTTCAAATGAAAAAAGTGTAGACAAACTACTCGGAAACCTGAGCACTCGAATGATTAATCGAATTATTTTGCGGCGTGTTCTATGAAGGTGATCCATGATCACTTGGCCTCTTTGTTGTTGTTGGAGGCGCGCTTAGTTTTTCAACTTTGTATAAACGATGCCACGGCTGTTGGGAGGGCATTCAGCTGCCAATCAGTGTTTGACCTTTTGATGAGATGTTTACTATTTGGCTGAAGAGGGTACATACTTGGAACTGGTTAATTGATAACTGCGCTCATTCGTACATATGTATGTAGGTGTAGTGGTTAGTCTCGAGCATAACAGACAATTGCGGGTGGTGATGCCTTCGTTTCGATGTGGAAGGAAAAATTGTTCGTAGCAAAGTTAGCTGAATGAAATCTCGCATTTCTAGCCATCCGTTATTGCAATTTATTGTTTCGTGCTTCCGTTTCTTGGTTTCTATTCAAATAAATGCACTTTGGATTGTCTTCTTCGTACATATTGCGATCTTGGATTGAATTACTACATTACGAACAAAAAGAAAAGTATTCTTTACTGTTATTCTGGTTTATAGAGAGAGAGCGCAAAAAAAAAGCCCTTCAATTACTTTCCACTTCACGGCTTTCTGCTTGTTCATTCATCTCTTCGCTATTCATTATTCTCCTCTTCTTTTCTGCACGCTGGCACGCTTGGGGCACATAAATTGTTTTGCATGCCAATGCCACCCATATTTTGTTGTGCTTCGCTCGAGAAACTAATAAATTTACAAAAGAATGAAATCGATAATCAAAAAGCGTAACGACGAACCACAAACGACGAATTGTCCAATGTAAGCAGCAGAAGCCAAGCTGACAGTTGAATGGAAAATATAACAGAACCAAGACACTTTTTTTATGTTTAGTGAATGTCCAAGCTCGCCCAGAATAGCATATCCCGAGCGCTTTGAGGCTATTAGGGCGTTCTTACGGCATTAAGATCAATCTTTCGGCATTCTTTGTACTACATAAATAAATCTAACATACAATGGGGCTTCACAGTTCGCCAAATTTCTTCGATAGAACGAAGGGCACCCGCACTTAAAGCGTTCTCAACAAAACGGGAGTTTTTCTTTGTATGAAAAAAAGACTGTTTCTCAAGTTGAGAAAAAGCTGGTCCTCAACTTGACCTCCTAGGTGATTCTCCAATTGGTCTCAAACATATAACTGAGATACTGAAATTAAAATAGTAAAATAGATAATTTAACCCTTTTTGATTGAAACGACATAGATGCATTATCGATTTTTTTCAATCTCACCTCTTCAATCGGTAATACTGGGGTCACAGATAATAATACCATACAAATTTCGGTCCCGATTGGAGTCGGTTAAGGCGTGTCGCAATGGGGTCCAAGGCCTGATGCTCCATGGAGACTGAAAAAATTAAAAAAACATTTTTTCATTTAATACTCAAAATCGATACTACTAAAGTCGAAGATATCACATACAAATTTTGGTCCTGATTGGAGTCGGTTAAGACGTCTTCATAGGGTAATCTGAATTTTGACCCCTGTGCGCCACGCCTTAACCGACTCCAATCGGGGCTAACATTTATATGTGATATCTTCGACTTTAGTAGTATCGACGTAGGGGTTGAGGCTTAGGAAATCGGATGTAAAAATTTGCTTCCTTATGAATGTTCGTACCTAATATAACTTTAGATCAAAAAGAGCTGAAAAGTGCAGACGCATCCTTTTTCCATTAAACTGCTACACTGTACCTGATTATCGAAGAGAGGGAGTGAAGGAAATGCGGATTAAAGAACAACAAATGCAGTCATTGACGATCACCACCAGTAACTCGGAGCTGGAAAACAAATTTAGAGTAGATCATACTTAAAAAATTTCAGTTATATACAGTGAAGCATTACCAAATATTTTAAAATATCCCCTTGTAAGGGCATTATTATCCAAACTGATATAGTCACAGATGGTAAGTTTTAGGGCTGAGAAAACATAAAACGTGGTAAAACTTTGGTTTCACATTGTTTGATTTGATGTTGAAGCGAAATATTTAAGTACCTCAATGTACCAAATGCCTTCGTAACTTTCTTAGTGGATCGCGATCACTCTATAGTTTTACGTACATACACATGTACATACGTGCCTCTTCTGACACCTCTCTCTTATTGTTTCTTACTTCTATTTGCACATTTGTCCACATTTTTCGGGGCACAGTTTGTTTGCGTTCTAGCAAACTTGTTTCGTGGCCCCAGCACGATCAGCGCTGAATTACACTTTCGTGCCGAAGATTTCCAACGTGTTTTGCATATGAAAAATGAAAATGGGCCATCATTTGAGCAATGAGTAAATTGCATACCTACTTTTGTATGCGCAGAATAATTTTCAATGTACGCAAAAACAATGCGGCCAATTCGCTGCTAAAGCAATACGACCGCTCTACAGCTACTGAGATCAACAAGCTGATCGAGTGGCAAATGAGCCTCCAACGAGGTTATCTACTGTATGGAAATAGTATGCATAAGAATGTACATATGTATGTGATCATATGGAGTTCATTTGCACTCCATTAAATAAAATCCCTTTCCTACTCCTCCCTGCTTCTTGATCAAACGCCACCAAAGAAATGGGGTCTGATGTCAGCGATCTTCAAATATTTGCCAAGCTAATGAAGTGAATACAAATAAACATACATACATACGTATATGTATATGTATGTATGTATGTACGAACTCATTCGCGTACAAACCAGGTATGCTAAGTTTTACCTCATGCTTTTGTTTCTGCTTTATTATTGTCTTTTTGGTTTAAGTGCGATTTGATGCTAATTTGCGTAGTACAAAAATAAATAGACGAAAAGCGAACGTTGTTGAATCTAACAAATTTATAGAACTAAATATATATCTGTATATACGCTTGTATTCTTACATTCGTTATTGTAATTGTCATTGGTTGACGCATTCGTAAAATACATACATACAGACATACGTATGTAGTAAGTATTTCCAATGCAACTGGAGCTGGCAAATTTTACTTTAAAGTTTAAATGTGTGAAATGCAAATTATCTTATCTTATTTTCATAAGGAAATTATACATATGTATGTATGTATGGATATACAGTGCCGGACAAAAGTATTGGCACAGAGAATTTTCCGCAATATCCGCAAAGTTTTTTATTCTAATTAATTTTCGATAATTTTTTATAAAAATATAGTTCGTCCTAGACCAAAAAAAACATAAAATCTAAATCTCTAAACTTTGTGCAAAACTCAGGAAAATTCAATAAATTTGCATACTAAAAAATCGCGTTGATTTTTGGCAATTTTTTCTCACTCAGGTTCTTCCATACAAAGTACTTATGTTCGACAATTATATTTTGGATGGAGATGAGCAACACCTTCCACTAAAAAAAATTGCCAAATATCAACGCAAAAAGTCGTAACTTATAAAAAATCAAAATTCACTTTTTGATTGCTATGATGGATTTCATCGAATTACAACTCCCCACATCGTTTTATGAAAAAAAAAGTTATTCACGACCTTTTCCATTTCAGTGACGATGTTGCAGTGTTGCCACAAAAAAAATTACTCAATTCCTCAAAAACAAATAAAAAATCCTCAAAATGCGAACAAATTACTCAAAATTTTCTTACTTAGTATAAAAATTAATTACATTCTCCAATTCAATTGGTACATTTGTACTTGCGCTTCAAACAAAGTACCACTATTGTTTTTTATGCCTTGGTTTGTATATAATATTGCTGCAACTATATCAGTGCTCAATCTGGTCCTCAAGTCCGGCCTAAACATTTTTAAACTACCTAGTATACATTCTACTGAAGCATTAGAAAAGGGCTGTATTAGTAATGCAGATATAATTTTTTTTTGTTTTAATTGGGAAACTTATATGAACCTGAAGAATCTTTTATTTTCTGGATCTAATGAAGTATCAATATGAGTATCCTTATGATCGAACAATGCGTGTTCTCTCCATTCATTACCGAGGAGACTTTGCAAGTTCAAAATATATAAGATGAAAATATAACGATGGAATGAAAAAAATTTTCGAAGACATTTTAAATATATAGCAGCAAATGCAAATGTGCTTAAGAGCGAAAAACACCACACAAGCGGCTTGACCAGCCAAGGCTATTTATGTTGTGTATGGGGGTGTTTGAAGGTTTGACAAGCAGTTTGAGGGAAATGTGAATAAAAATAAAAATTTTTTGATTTGCTGGTCGCCATATTGACGTCATGTTTGCATGGTGTATGGTGAAATGGGAAAAGTAGGTTTGAAGAATTTTTTGACAAGCCGATTGTGTGGTGTATTTCACTCTTTATATAAAATTTCGGAAAGTTTTTTGTTCAAAAATTTGCAGAGCGATTTAACAACTCTCTTGTGTAAAACATGGTTGCATTTGTTATCTGCAAATATATCGAGAGAAAATTTCTCAAAATAAAAATCCTCAAAAAATACTGAAATTCCTCACGTTTTGAGGAATTATTCGCAAAGTGGCAACACTGCGATGTTGTTACGTTAATTTGCATTTCAGGTGACGATGTGCATACATACAAATCGTCGTTTAAAGTGCAAACCCGCGTACCAACAAAATGCAAAACCGCGTATGTGAAGTTGTAGAAATTATTTTCTAGAGTCTAAAAACACTCATATTTCAAAATGGTTCTCTTTTTTATAAAGAAATCGCATATCTGCCTAGAATATTTCAGGACGAATGGATGGATAAGGCTTGAGCCAAGAGCTTGTGTGAGCAAATCCAAGTTTTGGCAGCCAATGCGGTTTTGCATAATCACGATACGCGGTTTTGTACTTTAAACGACGATATGGGTCATTCCACATCAAAACGCATGCGGCTCTGCCAACAAACGATGTTCGCCGCGAATAACGTTTACAACGTTAAGCGACAAGATTATAATTTTGCAGAAATTAAAAGAAAATGTGTATAATAACGCACATAAAAAAGCTCATTTGATTTGGTTTTCTACTTTTTCGGAATAGAAGTATTCCAGAAACTTACTCTTTCAGTATGAAATATATATATATATGTTCATTAATATCTTTAAAGTTAAAGAAACTATTTAGTGTTAAGAAAATTGTCGCTTACAACGTTATTCGCTGCGACCATTCAAATGATGGAGAGCTATCATTTGTTTTAAGATGTGAAAAGTTAGGTATTTATATGTAGAATCGAACGTTATGTGGTGCTTATAAAAAAATAACAATTCGGTACTAAGTCACCATTTTCCGACCAGTCTCCCGAAAAATTTCCTGAACCCGAATACAGGGTCAGTTTGGTCTCACGAGGTCAATATCTCGGTCCTTTGAAGGTCAAATTAAAAAAGACACTGAATAGGAGGCTTCTATCGCAACTAATAATAATTAGATTGGCGCTTACACATATTTCAACTATTTCCAAGGTACACCCTAATGAGTACAAACAAATGCACATGCAGACATATATTTATTTTAATTTTAATATTCATTTATACGCTAATATTATAATGAAGCTGGTAGTATTTTAATGGGAACTTACTCATAATCAGTCATCATTGTTTTAATAATAAAAAATAATACATGTTTTTATGTATGTATGTATATAAAAGAGCTATTGCACAAACAACCTTTTGTGAGGTCAAAGCATTCATCAATACAATTTGTAGCGTACACTTTCCAACAAGCACCTATTACTAATAATTACGTAATAAGGGCAATTGAGACTTTGCCTTAGGTTTTTCTTTAAAAAATTATAAAAAAAAAAAATTGCTACAGCTTTTGCTGAAAGATAAATAAAAGCTCTGTGTATGTACATTTTAGCGCATAATTTCAAAAGTGCCAAATTTTTTAGTTGTGCCTCTTTTGAAGACGGTGTGCGATATGTATGTATGTATGTGCGCCAACTACTTTTCCTAGCTAATAAATAAATTAAAAGTTATCGAATATTTCTTAAACTATACGAAATATTGGTAATATTTTAAGGCTAGTTGACTTTAAATTGACACCAATTGGTGGTAATTAAAAACGCATTATTTCTGTATATTTCGTAAAGAAAAACAAGCAAAGGAATTACAAAACTCATAGATAAAAACGTACGCACTTTTCAAATCAGTACTTTGTTCAACTTTCGTAGCCTCTTTTTGTCGGCGCATATCAAGAAAAGGGCGAAAAGCCAGCCATGGCAGCGCGTACATATGGCATTGGCACTATCATCGTCATGGTTTCAACACTGGAATCCAATTAATTTTCAATAACAATAACTAATGTGGCACTACCCGCAGCCAATTCTTTCAGTTTTACTACTTTTTCAGAAGAGCGCCTCGAAGCAAATGGGTTGTGCGTTAGTACATTTTCTTTTCGGTATTATTAGGCAATGAACGCTTGTTTTACTGTTATC